GTGATGCCGGCTGCATCCCTTGACTTAGTGATTGCTGGAGCTGCCACCTAAACACCTCTGTGGCCATGGGCAGCTCTGCAGGGCTCCTAATCCAGCCATGTCTGGCCATGGGGTATGTCTAACCTACATGGGGTATGTTTAACCTGCATGGGGCATATCTAATCTGCAGGGTGAGCTCTGGATGTGCTCTTTGTGGTCTGGGTTTTGTATGCAGATGGTCTGGAGGCACGCAGTGAAGATGCTCTTTGACCCTAAGGATTTTGCTTTGCATTTTCCTCATGTGTAAACCCAGGCAGCAGGGTATCTGCTGTCTGGGTTTATAGGTTTTCCCATGGGGAGGACACAGTGTCCCTGTGCCTGTTGGAGCTGCTGAAGGAAGCAGCAGGGCTGTAGCAGGGTCGGGGGTGAACCTCTGGCAAGAAATGTCTCCTGCTGGTGTTGCAAAGAGCCTTCTGTACAGAAAGGGCTGGTGTTGATGTGGGAAGGGAGTCCCGTGTACCTGGCTTGTTACAGGTGAGAACTCTGAAGTCTCCCCGTTGCTTGGGTGTACAGACTGTGCCAGCCGCGTTGTGCTGCTCGGTGGCTGAGTGCTAATTGTTTTGTACTGCCTGAGCATCAGGTTATTTTTGGCTTGATCAAGTTTCATTCCCTGCAGGTCTCTGAGGCTTCCCGACCTGTGTAAACTGCTTTGGGAGAAGTTTCTCTTCTTCAGGGTAGAGAGCTTACACCCCTCAGCCAGGGCATGGGGAGAAGTATATTCCTCCTAGCAAAACCTGCACATTATTCTGGGGTTGGTTTAAGATGTTTTGCTAGCCCAGAGTGTGCAAAGCCATGTGCTGGCATGGGAGAAATCATTAATTTCCTTTAATTAACTTCCTCATACAGTTTCCCTTGGTGCTGTGGGAAAACCCCAGCTCCAAGTATTCCAATGTGGATGCCTCATCCCTGGCAGTGCTCAAGGCCAAGTTGGATGAGGTTTTGAACAGCCTGATGTAGTATCTTGGGGTTGGAACTGGGTGATCTTAAAGGTCCCTTCCAGCCCAAACCATGTGGGAGGTGGGGAGAGTGATGCTGCTTCGCCAGTGGCTTCATGATGCTATAGGTGCTCAACTTGAGGTGCCTTCAGGACTGGGGTCTGGTTCCCCTCTTGAGGAGCTGTAAGCATCCCTCAATGGGTGCACAGCTCTGGCTGCTGCAGCATCGTGTGTGTGACTGAATCTCCTCTCTCCTGTGCTGCAGAGCTCCTCTTCACTCCAGACACTGGGAGGGAAACAGAGATGCTGGGGGAAGAGCTGTGGAGGTGGGGAGAGATTGAGCTATCATTACTGTGGCACCAGTGAGGTTTCTTTGCACCACTAAGCAGTAGCTATCAGCATTGAGTGCAGTATGCTGAACAGCTGAGCAAGGGAAGAGATACTGAAAGGAGCCTGCGATGAAAAGAGATTTTGGAAGGAAGAAAGCACCTCTTTCTACTGCACACAGGCACTGCCCATCACTGAGAGCTGTGACGGGCAGTGGGAATTGCCTGTTTATGGTGATTGATCTGCGCAGCCCCTGGGATGCTCAGAAATAGGATTAAGGAAGAAAGAATCTCAGGAGAAAAAGGAGGTGGAGGTTCCCCTTTGGAAACACACAGGCTAATAGAAAACATCCTCTAAATTGTCATTGTGTCAGGATAATGTAAGTATAATGTTTTCAAATCCTTGGCATCTTCTATTTGAATGTCATTGAATTCACACCAATGCATTCATTAGCTCATTATTCATTACTATTCAGTATTTGTTAGACTGGCTCTTTCTCTGGAAGATGGGTGTAATGAGACATGGGACTGGCTGTGGGGCCATGCCCATAGCTGTGCATAGAACAGTAGGAGCGTGGGTTCATGTACCAGAATGGCCTTCAGTGATTGTTTTGTTGGCATTGCATCTGGCCTGTGTTGTCCTGGCTCTTGGCCAGTGGTTTACCACAAATTAGTGGGAATTCTTAAGGGGAGAAGAGTGTTAATGATGATGTGGGTGAATTTCCCCAAACTCCTGCCCTGAAAGTAACTGGTGAGGCAACTGATGGAGGCAAATTTTGATTTTCTGGCCCACGATTAGAGTTGCAAAACTGCCTCTGTAATCACAGAGATGGTCATTGCTGTCTTCACTGGTGAGTCATGGAGTGCCTGCCCCCTTCAGCCTCCATCACCTTCCTTTGCTTCTTGCCCTAAGGACAGATTCTCTAGATATGAAGATGTTTTGGTTTGTTTTTCTTTCCTCCCTTTCTTTTTTCTCCTTCCTTTTTGTTTTCTTTTTCACCTGTCCCATCTTCTTTCCTTTGCCATTTCTGATCATGAGGACAGAGCAGGAGGTGCAGGCAGCAGCTTTTCCTGGCAAGAATCATTGGGACCTTAAAGCTCATCCAGTTCCAACCCCTGCCATGGGCAGGGACACCTTCCACTAGAGCAGCTTGCTCCAAGCCCGTGTCCAACCTGGCCTTGAGCACTGCCAGGGATGGGGCAGCCACAGCTTCTCTGGGCACCCTGTGCCAGTGTCTTGAAATGCTTATTTCATAACCATTAATTGTTATTTCATAACCATTCTCCAGCCACTGCGTACAACCTACCTGGCAATAACCTCTCCAGAAGTGACCAAGTAATAGTCACTGATTACACAGTTAATTTATTCTTTGCCACTAATAAGAAAAAGTTAATTTGTGTTACAAAGGAGGAGGAAAAATATATCTAAGGGTTTGTTTAATTAAAGCTACACTGTGTCGAAAAGCCCAAGTCACATTAATGATACAGACAATGATGGGATTGTATGATTAGGAATTAATTACTTCAGAAATAATACTTTCTTTGCTTTAAAGCTATTCATTTTTCTTCTCAAAATCATGAAGGAGCCCAGCACACTCAGCACCTAAAGGCCTACCAAGACCATCAAGCCTCAGGTCTCTAATCCCTTGGTTGGGTTTTGGTGACCCATGCCAGAAGGATGCCACTGCTTAGACTGTTCCCTCAGCTAGCAAGGCTTTGGGAAGGACTTTACTTTGTTCCCCTCCAAAGCATGGAGGGGATGGAGAGTGGCCAGATAGGTACCCAGTGCCTTTACAGGGATGTGAGGGTCCTCACTGGGTACCATGCATGAGCCCTTCACTTGGAGATGTCATCCCCATGTCCCGGGAGCTGTGTTGGGGCAGGTGAAGGACGTAGGATGGCCTTGGAGTGGTCTTGATAGGGCTGGATTGGGCTGGAGAGCTTTGGTCAGAAAATGCTGGGCTAGAAATACTGCAGCAACAGGTCTCTGGTTTCAGCAGCAGTGGTGAGAAACCACTCAGCATCCAACCTTGTGAGTCTGGGTCTGCCAGGAGGAGAAGGCACTACAGGATCTGTAGTAAAAGACATTGGAGGTCTTTTGTGACATGTCACTTTGGTTTATGGGGTGGATTTTGTGTATAGATTATCTAGGTTTGAGTACACACAAATTATTTGGGTTGGCAAACTGCAGACATGGTAAATCCAAACTTCTCTACTATGTAGTAGCTACCTTTTTGAGTTTCTTGCCTTGTGCTTGAGTGTAGGCATGAGTAGATACAGCTCCCACCTTCCTCCTGGATGGTTGTTTTCCATTGTCCCATTTCTGCAATATTTCTAGACCCTGGTTGCTGCATCTGGCTCTGAGCTGCCTTTCCAGGACTTGGTTATTGACTGGAATAAAAGAAAAAAAACCCCACACAACCCAACAAAACCTTCTGCAATCCCAAAGAAGCACTTGCAAAGCCTCCAGTGGCTAAAAGACATTTTGCCTGTGGTCTGCTGAGGGGGTCTTATTAAATCCTTGGTCATGGGATTCAGTCTTTGTACTGTTCCAGTGAGACCTCTTGGCTTTGCCTTACAGAAAGGGTTATATTGGGTACTCACAGGCATGACTGTCTGCCCTTGTGTTGACAACCACAGGGAAGGGTTTTCCTGCAAGAGGGAAATCCCTCACAAGGCAGCAGGACAACACTTGCATGCACCATGCCAAACTGCTGGCACCTTGTTTTATGACTCCCAAAAGACTCATGAAGTCTAAATGAGTGTAAATTGTCTCTTCCTGGGGCAGCCATGGGAAGGCTAGGCTAGGGTATGGGATTGAGCTTGAGTCCTGTGCTTTCTTAGGCCGGATTATCTGTGTCTCATGCTGTGGTGTGGGAGGGCGAAGTGGCAAACAGGAAAACGTGTTTGTGTTCAGCTAATCCAAGATGAAATGAAGACAAATGGGAGCTGCAGCATCTGGGGGGACACACAAGAGTAAAAGGCTGAGATTTGTGTCATTTGGCCTGAAATAGCAGCTGAAGGGTATGATGTATGGCACGGGAAAGACAAAAGGCAAGGCATCACTTAATGACTGTAATTACCCATTTCTAGGAAGCATTTAATTCCCTTCATCTGGGAAACAAGAAAGAGGTACTGCTGAGCACTGCCTTATGCTGGAATAGAATCGTAGAATCACAGAATGGATTAGGTTGGAAAGAACTTAAAGCTCATCCAATCCAGCCCCATGGGCAGGGACACCTCACACTACACCGGGTAGCTCCAAGCCATGTCCAACCTGGCCTTGAACACTGCCAGGGATGGAGCATTCACAGCTTCCTTGGGCAACCTGTTCCAGTGTTTACCCACCCTCACAGTAGAGTTCTTCCTTACATCTAACCTAAATCTCCCCTGTTTCGGTTTGAACCCATCACCTCTTGTCCTATCACTACAGCCCCTGGCTAGACTACACTTTGTAGGTCAAAAGCATTTATAGCTAACTGCCTATGCTAAAGCCACTCTGATCTGATTATATTTCTTCCCCCCCTCAGCAGATCCGGGTGACAGCAGGATCACCTTGAGATGAGCTGCCCCTAGCCGGGGCCAGCCGGGTCCCTGCCCCGGGACGATGAGGCCCCATCTTCCAGCCTAACAGGAGCATTCCGTGGCCGTGGTTGGGCTTTCCTTCCTGATCCTCGTGGAGTTTCATGTGACAGCAGCCGAGGGCCCCACCATGGCGGGGAAGCAGCCCCCGCCGCTGATGAAGAAGCACAGCCAGACCGACCTGGTGAGCAGGCTGAAGACACGCAAGATCCTGGGGGTCGGCGGGGAGGATGATGACGGCGAGGTGCATCGCTCAAAGGTATGGGAAGCCCTTGTGTACTCATGGAGAAGAGAGCTTCTACCTGGGAAAAACAAGGTGGTGCAGGGGGGTTCTTTAGGATCTAACGCCTGTAGCCAAAACCAGGGCTCTGTGGGGCTCCTGGAAAGGGAGGGTGAAGGCCAAGTGGCACAAGCAATGATGTCTTTGAGTAGAGATGGGTTGTGGAGCCAGAGCTGACCCAAATGGTAATGGGGTGAGCTCAACCCTCAAGCTGCTTTAATCCATTGCCAAGACACCCATGAGGTACCATTAGACGATGGCACCACCAGTGCCCACCAGCCTGGACACTGGAGCAGCAGTTTAAGCTGTGCCTCTCAGAAGAGAGGTTGGAGGCAAGCCAACCTGTTTCAGGGAAGTACCAGAGCTGGAGGACCTATGGGTCAGTCCCATTAGGAGACCTGTCACAGATGCACTCTGAAGAACATGCTGGCAGGGCATTGCCCAGCTCCTGCCTGCAGCTCCTGCCTGCGTGCGGGGAGCAGCACAGAGCTCTCCAAAAGCTCCCCCAGTACCTTTCCCTGTCACTGGTGTAGCCTTCCCATCTGTGTGGTCTGGGGTAATCATAGCCAGGCATTGCTCTGGGCAGTGTGCATGTGGGAGTGGGATGGATGCTTCTATATCCTTCTCTATGGGGATGTGATGTGCTGGTGGTGTGTGGAAGGAGACATTTCCCTACTTAGGTAGGTAAGAGGAGACACAAGATAATGTTAAACCCACTCCAGCCCCATGCTGCAAGTGGCTTATCCAACAAAGGAGCAGTAGAGGCTGCAGCTCCTGATGGAAATCAAGACAGTCTTTGGCAGGTGTAAGGACCAAGGAGTCACAGGTGAATCTCATGTCCTCTTCCAGCCCTCTTGGAGGTAAACTCCCACATGGGGTTATGTATGCATTTTAGGGATTCCAAATCCTGCCTAAAGGCTGGGGAAGGGTCTGCTCAGTCACCTTGTGTCTTCTGTTTGAATTTCAGATTAGCCAAGTGTTGGGAAATGAAATCAAGTTTGCTGTCCGGGAACCACTGGGGCTCAGGTAAGATATTGGGCCACCTTGGAGCTGGGTCATCTGAGGGCCCTAAAGCACAGCATCCCTGACAGCGCTGGTTGCTGTCACCAGCTCTGCTGCTGCACCAACATCAGTGCTCCATGCAGTGGCTTCTCAGAGCCACAGAACTAGCCCAGCTCTGCTTTATTCCCCCACAGTAGATTTAGTTTAGACATTAGTCAGCTCTTCCCTGTGAAGGTGCTGAGGTGCTGGCACAGGGTGCCCAGAGAAGCTGTGGCTGCCCCATCCCTGGCAGTGTTCAAGGCCAGGTTGGACACAGGGGCTTGGAGCAAGCTGCTCTAGTGGAAGGTGTCCCTGCCTGTGACAGGAGTTGGAACTGGATGAGCTTTAAGGTCCCTTCCAACACAAACCATTCTATGGTTCTATGAAATAACCCTGAGGCCCTCAAGCTCTTCTCCCACAGTAGGTGCTGCAGCCTACAGGGGCTGCGTGGGACTGGAGGAGCTCCTGGTCTGGGACCCTGCTGAGCACTGTCCTATTGACCGGGTCACTTCCTTTCTCTGCTTAGGTGAAGAGGGTCTTGGATCTGCCTCACCAAGGCTGGTCTGTGTGCTGAGGCTGGAGCTATCAGTGTGTGTGGGGCGCCCATACCCCCATGGGAGGCTCCTGGCTGCCTCCACTGTGGGATGTGGGAGGATGAAGGCTAACAGCGGAGCAGGCAGCAGGGATGCTTTGTGAAGGATGAGTGATGGGTCTGCTCACACGGAGTCCTCTCTTCCCTCTCACACAGGGTCTGGCAGCTGGTTTCCGCCGTCATGTTTTCGGGGGTTGCCATCATGGTAAGTGAGGGACGTGGTCCTGGGCACCACCAGCTCCCTGCTGTGGAAGAGGTGCCCCAGCTTGGCCCCTTGGCATTTATCCCCCTCCCTGCTGCTGCTTCCTCTTGCAAGGCCTTTCCCCTCACTATGTCTCAGTAATAGGCTTTGCCAGCAATGGTTTGCTCCCATCACCAGAGTCCTGCTTTCATTAGCAGGGTCATAAACCACACACAGCATGGCACCCTCAGCTGTACAAACCAGCCATGAAGCCAGGAGCTGACACTGATACTTCTTGCATCTCCTTAATTCCCCATTTCCTGGCCAGCAGCTCCAATCCCATAAAGGCTGATTCTGGAGTGCTGCTGCCCCAGAGGTCATGTTTTGATATCCAGTGCTTAGTGTCTCCTTGCCTCTGCCAGGCGCTTGCTTTCCCTGACCAGCTTTACGATGCCATCTTCGAGGAGGAACCGGCGAGCAGCAAGATTCCCATCCGGCTCTATGGAGGAGCCCTCCTCAGTGAGTGCTGTGCTGCTGTACCCAGGGCATGATACTGCTGCTGTGTAGAGTGAAGGGATGAGAGATGCCAAAACAACAGGAGGGGGCAAAGCCCGTGTAGAGCAGGACAGCTGCAGTGGGAGAGGAGAACATCTGTTCTTAGCAAAGAAATTGTTTAGGGGTATTTTGAAAAGCTCAGCTACTGATGCTTTTTCCTAGGAGGGGTTCAGGCTCGTTGCAGGTAGGGTAAGAAGGGATGGATGTGCATGCCCTAATATCAGGGGTGTATGCCAAGTGCCCCAACAAAGGGAGCTTGGAGATGGGCTGGGAGATAGGGCACTGGGAGGTGGGCTGCTGTGGATGAAGCTGAGACCAGACCTTCCTCATGGGAGTGGGAAGAGAGAAGGGAGAGGCAATGGCATCACAGGAAGGTCCCATGCACCCATACCAGGATGAAACTGCGAGCAGACCCTTTTTGTGGGAGTGGGAAGAGAGAAGGGGCAAGTGATGGCATCCCAGGGGGTCCCATGGAGGGGACTGAAGAGGTGGGGAGCAAAGGACAGGAAGGTGAGAAACGGTCTGTAAATGAGTGGAGGAATTCAAGACACGGGGTTTGTGCAGCTCAGCACCGGGACTGCACCTTCTGCGTGCCCACCCGGGTGCCTCTTTGGAGCCGCAGGCAGGGGCTGGCAATGGGATGGGATGGGTTGGGTTGGTTTGGGGGGGTCGGAGGGGCTGAGGCCGGCGGTTGCGGGATGCCGGTGCCGGCCGGTCAGTCCCACAGCCTGCAGCAGCACCTCGCGGCGGGGGCTGGGACTGCAGCGGGCACGGCGCGGGGCGAGCGTTGTCGCCGGAGGAACACGTCCGTCCCTCCATCCCCCCATCCACCCCATCCCCCCTTCCCCCCATCCCTTCTTACCTTCCTCCTTTCCATCCATCCCTTCTTACCTTCCTCCTTCCTTCCATCCATCCCTTCTTACCTTCCTCCTTCCTTCCATCCATTCCTTCTTACCTTCCTCCTTTCCATCCATCCCTTCTTACCTTCCTCCTTTCCATCCATCCCTTCTTACCTTCCTCCTTCCTTCCAGCCATGCCTTCTTACCTTCCTCCTTTCCATCCATCCCTTCTTACCTTCCTCCTTTCCATCCATCCCTTCTTACCTTCCTCCTTCCTTCCATCCATCCCTTCTTACCTTCCTCCTTTCCATCCATCCCTTCTTACCTTCCTCCTTTCCATCCATCCCTTCTTACCTTCCTCCTTCCTTCCATCCATCCCTTCTTACCTTCCTCCTTTCCATCCATCCCTTCTTACCTTCCTCCTTCCTTTCTTGCATCCCTCCCTCCTTTCCTTTATCCCTTCATCCATGGGAGGCAGAAACATCTCTCTTGGGCACCAGTTGCCCCTTCCTGAGCCCCTCGGGCAGCTCTGCTGTGCTCCCCCTCTGCAGGCATCTCTCTCATCATGTGGAACGCTCTCTACACGGCGGAAAAGGTGATTATCCGCTGGACCCTGCTGACTGAGGCCTGCTACTTCGCCGTGCAGTTCCTGGGTAAGTAGCTGTGGCCATCCAGAAGGGAGGAAGAGGAGGATGCACAGGGTGGGAGTACATGCTGTGTACCCCAAAGCATGCAGGGAGGAGGGAGAAGTGGGCAGGAGAACCATTGGTGGGATTGTGTATGAAATTGGAGCTGTGCCTTTGGGTCTGATGGAGTAAACTCCAGGCTGAAGGAGTTGTGAGGTGAGGCTCTGGGGGGTCACAGTGGAATCAGCTGATGGGGATTTGCTGGCACAGCCAGAGGAACACCCGATCCCTGGTTGTCTCCATGTTGTCTCCAGCTTTTGCTGGAGATGGCTCCTTTGCTCTGCAGGCAAACATAACCTAGCCACGGGAGTGTTTTCCCTACAGCATCTCCCTTTTCTTCCCCATGGAGTAGCCTCTGCTTTGGGCTGCTCACTGAGAGGTGCCTGGCTACAGGGGAAACATCTTCCTCTTAGGATTTATGGGTTTATTCTCCCCTAAAACCACCCTGATCTTCACAGCCATCACTGGTTATACTCTGGAGCGGGCTGCCTAGATCCTGTGGCTAATAAGACTGCAGCAACCTACACTAAAAAGGGGGATGTTCAGTCTTGCCAAACCGGAGAATAACAGTTCAGTTTGTTTCTAGGGAGCTTATCTATATTTAACGGTGAAGGGGTTTCTTCTATGTGTATATTGGAAGCTCACTAACTGTGTTATAAGGTAGCTGGCTCAGATATGGGCTATGTAGTGGTAACCAAAAAGGAGAGATGCTCAGTGCGCATGGACTATGTGCATTTTGTGGATGCTTCTAAAGCTGTAAAGTATTTATCAGCACTGATGTGGCCAAGCCACAGAGCAAGCTCAGGAACACGCAGCATCCACAATTAATACCTGAGCATGGTGGAAACTTCTATTGGCTTGAGAGACCTGTTCAGATTGTGGCTGCTGGGATGTGGGGCTGGGTTTAGAGCTCTGTGGGTCTGTGGCTAACTTCAGGGCTGTGAAATCAAGCTGAGAGCCTCTCTGCCTTGGGTTCATGGGTATGAGCCTGTGCTGAATGCTGTGCTCCCAAGGCTCAGCAGGCCTTGCTAAGTCACCACGTTAGAGGGCAGCAGAAAACAGTTTTGTGCCGTTTGTCTGCATCTGTTTCTTCACCGCCAACCTCTGCCTTGTCTCCCTCCTTCTCCTCCAGTTACCACTGTCTCCCTGGTTGAGAGTAGCCGGATAGCCACCGGTGCCATGCTCCTCCTGGTCAGCAGAGTCCTCTTCATCCTCATCAGCATTTATTATTACTACCAAGTCGGACGCCGTCCCAAAAAAGTCTAAATCCTGAGCTTTTTGTTACGGGAAGGGGGGGGGGGTCGTGTCGGTAATTTTGCATTATAATTATAACTTTTATTTCTTTTTGGTTTATTTTGTTAGTCCCTTTTGGTTCTAAAGTGGTTTCCTCCTTTTCCACTTTACCGGCATGAATCAGTGTGTAACCCGGTGCTGGTGGCATTGCCTGGTTAAACAGGGGGGAGCAGCATCCCCAGTCCTTCTGCAGGAGGTGAGGAGCAGTGGGAGGAAGGCTCAGGGAGGTGTGTGGGCCTGGCAGGCTCAGGGAAGAGCCAGTTTCCTTGCAGGATGGAACTGGCTGATGGGATCACAGGCTCGGAACCCGCTAGAACAAAGCACAAACCAAGACCAGCACATTGAAACCAAATCCCTGAGGAGGCAGGATGGCGAGATAGCCAACAAAGGATGCTGCTGCTCTCATTGTAAGCCTGGCCACTTGCCTGGTGGGGTATGTCCTCATGTACATCCCACTTCCATTTTAGCCAGTATGGACTGCCCGGGGAGCTGGATGGGGCTAGGTTGAGTTCAGTGCTTTGCCAACAGCTCTTCTTCCTTCCTTGCTGCCAGGATTTCTGCACTGTATTTCTGCACTGGGTGCTTGTATTTCTGCACTGGGTGCTGTGCAGAGCTCAGCAGGAGGAAAAGAAGGTGGAGATCCCTTGTTTGGTCCCTTTGCAGGGACAGCACTGGGAACGGCAAAGCAGCTTGAACTACGGTATGTGGGAAGTGAAGGAAGCTATTGGAAACGGCCCACTGAGCACAAAGACATCCCCTTGCATGGGGTGTTTCTTGAAGTTTCTAGGCTGGGGTTCTGTCCTCTTCACCCCAGAACACTTCCTACAACTGCAGCTTTACTGATGGTAGTAGTGGGGGGTGTGAGGTAGGTCTGATGCTTTAGCTCAGCAGGGGCTGGAATGCTGTTGCAGTTACTTGTAAGAGCAGAGGGAGCATCAGCACAGCTGCTTGGGGCGATGAGCCCCAGCTGTGGAAGATGATGTTCCAGCTCTGCTAATGTGCAGGCATTACAGAATGACAGAATGGTTTGGGTTGAAAAAGACCTTAAAGCTCACTCAGTTCCATCCCCCTGCCATGGGCAGGGACACCTTCCACTATAGCAGGTTGCTCCAAGCCCCTGTGTCCAACCTGGCCTTGAACACTGCCAGGGATGGGGCAGAGAGGACCAAAGTTTTTAGCATTAAGATACTTGGATGAAGAAAGCAAGGAGCGGGGCACATGAAGGCATCATTTCCTTCAGTAGCTCAGTCAAGGACAGATGGAATGTGCTTTAGTACTCACTGGCCAGTTTCTCCAACACCTCCTGGGCTTAACAGCATTGACTGCTGTACTTCCTAATGCTTTCCTTGCAGATTATCCCTGTCTGCAGCTGGAGGGTGGCATTTTTTGTTCTCCGTGTGACTTAAAGCCACAAGGTCTGTGTACAGGATATGGACTTCTTACTCCTGCACTACTGTTGACTGGATCAAAGCATGCCCTGGAATAGAGCTGACATCCCAAAATCCCAGTGTAAAGATGCCTATGGAAATAGAAGTGCTTGTGTGAACAACAGCCCTCAAGATGCTGGTGAGACCAGGATCTACGGCTATTTAATATCTTAGTAGAGTTAGAAGAAGGTAGTGGGTAGTTACTCTATGTCGTGTTAGTGCTTTTGGCATTTAGAAGCAGCTGCATAAACTTGGGACACTGTGTGCATTGTACCTACTGGCCATGCAGAATATCTGTCAGGTGGGAATAGTTGGACCAGGAAACATCACAACTGTAATTCTTCCTTCCATGAGAAGAAAGTCCAATGGAGAGGCAACATCCTGAATCCTGGAGCCTGACATCAACACGTGCCTGCCAAGCTGCTTTCAGCATCTCCCAGATATGATACTGAGCAACTAAAACTTAGATACAAGAGGAGCCTTCCTATTCAGGTGGAAGAACTGGTCTTTAAGAGGGAAAACTTTTCCCTGTGAGGCAGGAAATGATCAAGTGCAGCCTGGTGGGTACCACAAATCAGACAGAATGGTGCTGCGTGTGGGAGCTGTGTGTGATGGCTCTGCTCTCACCCTGCACCCCACTTGCATGGGCAGCTGCAGTGGCATCAGTGCAGCACTTTGGCGGTAGTTGTTGGTATAGGTACGTGAAGCTTGATTCTTTGTGTTTTGGGGGTCACACGAATGTATACACATCTTGATTGTGCGGTTTTAGGGGGGTGGGAGATATATTTCGAGGAAAGACAAGTAAAACTGACCACAGCAAAAGCAATCTTGTATAAGAAGGAAATGGAAGGTCCCTTTAATGCTGTCCTCCCATGTGTGCTGGCTGCAGGTCCTAGGAGCTTAGTTATGACTCTGGGTCTGTAGATGGCTGCAGGTGAGAGAAATGAGTTACTGCAGTACGTGACAGCAGTTCTCCAAAGACCTCTTGATGGTTAAAACAGGTGAGAAGGAAGCAGCTTTCCAAAGGAGCTTTAAATCAGGTGAGGTCGGACTCCTCTGGTCCATGCTTAGCAGCTGTCTCTGCAAAACTTAGCACAGTGAAACCACTTTGAGTTTTGCCAATGTTTTCTGCTGCAACATAGACAGTGGAGATGTAGGAGATTTCATACTACTTGGTACCTGGTCCTGAAAGGGGAGTGATGAAGAAGTTCTTCTATCGTCATGCTTCTTGCTCCATCTTGCTATAATGGACCATGCAGAAAGCATGGAATGGGACTGGGGCTGTATACTACTTCTACAAGGGGCAAATGGATGCCTCTGCCTAGCAAAGGCTGTGGTCCCTGGCCTGTTCCCATCTCATCAGCAAGGTGCAGCAGCAGAAACATGGCCAGGCCCACCTGACGAGGTGAGTTTGTAGCATGTGAGGTCAAAGACAGAGTTTCTCACGGTGGCTTGAGGAGGGAGCCCAGGCAGAGCATCCATAATGCTGCCAGAACCCAACTGTGCTGGTTGTCTTCACCCTGTTGTGAATGGGGGGAATGGGAGGAGGATGCTGAAATGTTTGTATAGAACTGCATCCCTAAGGACAGAAGTGCTGGCATCGCAGCTGCAGGTGGCAGTTGAGCACATAATTTGGGATCCAAAGCTTGAGGCATCACTTCACGCTCTGCTACTGATCTGCTGAAGAAAAACAACTCCATCTCCACAGGCTTCAGTTTCCTTATGTTAAACTGTGAGAAAGGCCTTGGACTGAAACCCTCTCCCAAAGGAACCTGCAAGGCATTACCTGCGTTTGTGTAGCATGCAGGGCTGGGAGTCGTGTTCCCCAGAGGGTACAAGCCAGAACCAAGGCTGACCCCTTTTCTCTGCCAGAGATGGACCCAAACCCTTGTGTTCATCGAGCCCTTGCTGTTGAGGGTGAAGGAAGCTCATCATTCACATCACTCCCTCCATCACCTTATTCACACCTACCTAATAGCTGGCAAACTGGAGCTGGTGCCAAAGGAGAGGTTCTGTCTGTCCTAAGCTGGCCTCCTTTCTGGTCAAGGGGTTTTTACTTGGGGTGGGGAGGGGGGCATAGGAGGAGAATGGGACACTTCAGTTTATACCTCATTTTAGCTGCTGTACCTGAGTTCATTTCTTTCTCCTCTGGCAATGAAAGTGACTGTACTTACCACCGAGCAAATAGTGAAAATTAAAGCCGTTTCACTTCACTGTCACAATATCTTTCTTTCATTTATTTTTTTTTTTTACTTTTTTTCTTAAGAAACGCACACAAAATCCGTGCAGAGAGTGCTTCAGGCTTGTGTTCTGCTTTATATTACCAAAACCAAATCCTTTCAATATAAAAAAGCATTACAGTAGGGAATACAGGATAAATTAGCTCCACTATCTAATAAAAAGAACATTTACAGGTGGGTTTGGTTTTTTTTTTTGTGTTTCTTTTTAAAATAGATTTCAAACATTATTCCACACACAGCCCTTTTCCCAGGCATTCGTGACAGTCATTTGAGCATTAAATAACAGGGGCACCAGGAGGGGCTATGGGTTTGCAGGCACAGGCTGCTCTCTACTACTTCATCCAAGGTGCTTGGGCTGTAAGCACAGTGCTACAGCAAAGGAGGTGGCAGCACAGCAGCTCCCTCTGGTCCCCAGCCTGAGACCCTGGCCCCAAAATACTCACCAGAGCTGTTAAACATAACAATACAGTTGCTCCTCCTGCCTCCTGTTCACAAAACTACTGTACAACAGAGGGGCAGCCACATCAACAAGGGACAAAACCATCACATCCGCACGCTTTTCCATACAGCAGGAGTGTGCTTTCTGGACTTGCTTGTTCATTAAGGTCTCCTAAGGGGGAAATTCCTTCTGCCTGTTACTGACTTCCACAGGCTTGCCTGTTATCTTCACAGCTATCTCCAGTTCTTGTTTGATATGTGCTGCCTGGCCTATGATGGGGTTCCGAGCTGTGTTCCCAATGGCACGCTAGCCAGCTCCAGGGAGGATTTAAGTCTTCACCCAGAAGAGCAATGGGAGGGATAAGGCAAGGTAAGAGAGGAGAAACAGCGGTGCCAAGGCCAGAATAACAGATGAATAATGATCTTTACAGTCCCTTCCAACCCAAACTGTTATATGATTCTATGAATAACAGCCTTTTGAAGATACAGGGGCTGCCATTAGGGAGAGAGGGAAAGCAAGGAAGCTAAAACCAGACAAAGCAACGCGTGCAGGATTTGGAAGGCCAAAGAGAAACAAGCCAGCAGGGACAGTACCACAGGTGTGTGTATTTAGCACTTCTTGCTCTGGCTTTCCCCATCACTGACAGTTGTTTCTGCATCACTGACACGTTTTTTTCCCCACTCCACTGGTAGCATAAAAAGGTTCTAAAAGACTATTTTCTTCTTATTTCTTCCTTTTCCTTTTCCCCCTTCACCTCCCACCATGCACAAACCAGGGTATTTGCCTTCCAGGCTCTGCAATGAGACAAGCCAGGCCTTGGCATAATATACTGAGGGAAAGGGGGGGAAAAACCCCTGAGACTGGGAGGAGAAAGTTCTGCTTCTCTCACTCACCTCCAGCCAAATCACCATCTCTGCCGATGCTTTTGTTCCTCCCCTGGGAATTGCTCTGCCAGAACAGTCCCTAACAACAGCTCCTGAGGCAGAAGCAGAACAGATAAGCTCGCCTTCTGCTCAGCCCATTCCCTCCAATGCTAGTAGATGCAACAGATTTTCCTTATCACAAGCACAGCACCTGCTGTCCGGCACAAATACTCCTGGTTTTTGGCTAGCAAAACTGTTTTCCTTCATTAAACAAGAGAATTTAATGCTAAAATGCCTCATTAAAAGAAGGCCCAGAGGGAAAGAGTGCGGAAATGCTTTCCATGAGGTTTAACGCAACATCTGAGGCTGCTCAGCAGCCCTGGAAACCTATTTCATTGCTCGAATATGCTGACTGAAGCATGGGGGGAGGCTGCAGCTCTACCTGCCCCAGGCCTCTCCTGCTGATGAGCAAATTGTTCTCAAATGAAGCTTGGAAAAGCTCTAATAGCTCCCTCCTGTTCCTTAGCATCCCAGTTCCCAAACTGGATATTTATCGAGGATCACAGAATGGTTTGGGTTGGAAAAGACCTTAAAGCTCATCTAGTTCCATGGGCAAGGGCACCTTCCAGTAGAGCAGGTTGCTCCAAGCCCTGTCCAACCTGGCCTTGAACACTGCCAGGGATGGGGCAGCCACAGCTTGTCTGGGAGACCTGTTCCACTGTCCCACCACCCTCACAGTAAAGAACTTCTTCCTTATATCTAATCTATTACAGAATCTTGTCTATTATGGACCATGCTTTCTGGTGCTTTCCTTCCTTCCCTGTAGCCTGTGTAGTGCCACTGGGAGAGCTCAAGGGACACAGCCCCAGTAGTGTGTGGGAACAGCCAGTGTACCTGCTGCTGCAAAGCCAGGGCATGAGGTTACTGCTCATCTCCTTGCTGCTGCCTTCTGCCCCCTCTCCTTCCTTGCCAGTGGTTACAGCTTTCAGAGGGGCTGGTTTAAGCCTGTATAAAAGGGCTCCATAATCTGAGCCTATAAAAGTGTAAAAAGACCTAAGCTAAACAAGAAACCACAGCCCTTCTGTCTTCTCATGTGGAAAATGGGTTTTGGGTCAGGGAGAGACCAGATGAACAATTAAGGCAACAGGGGTTGATGCTTCCAGAGGAGAGAAGCCAGTGACCTGATAACCATGACCACTGGAGCAGCAGCTGGAGCAGTTCAGCTGCATGCTGAGTGCTCTCAGAGCCTACCTGGGTCTTCAGCACTTCCATCTTCATCTCTGACCAAGGCGCAGTCCCAGGCATCTTCCTCAAGTTCACTTCCAAATGGTTAAGTAGATGACATGTTAGTTAAATGTCAAACTATCTCAAGGAGGAAACACAACTAACAGGCAGACTAAACCAATTCTGACTTGATGTTTGCATTGTGAGCCCATGGGAGCATCCCAGGGGAAATGCTCTGAGCAGAAATGATGCACGTAGCATGGGAATGGCTGGCAGACCTCAGTCTCCTCCATCCAGCACCATGCCTGGCCCTCCCCCTAGGGCTGGAGAACATGTAGGAACCACTGCAAATTTTTATGCTGAGCACCACAAACTGGTTTTTGCAAGTATGAAGGGAAAGGCAAAGGCTGACAAGGTTTAAACACTATCTCCTCCCCTTCTCAGGAAGGCAGCAGTATCAGTGATTCTTGACCAGAGCCAGTCTTTTTCCCAGGAGATGGGAACACAGCAGGGAAACGTTTGGTCTCTTTCTCTTTCACAACAAGGAACTATAAGTCTTAGTAAAAGCAGAAAGGTAGGCACCAAACTCTTGACCATCAGCCAGCCTTAGCTGACTCCCATCACCAAGACCATGCTGCCCCTACTTGGGGCTCCAGAGAGAAGCCAACATCCTTGTTGGTTTCTCCAACAAGTTTCAGAGCCAAAGCTTCCACTGAAGAACATGTGTTTTCATTCTGTGGCTGGGATTTAAAGCCAGAACCACACCAACAATGACTACCTACTCCTTAGATGAGCCACCACCGCTCGTCTCAAACCCACCTGGACAGTCACAAACTTTGGCCAACCCGCTGCCTTATCCAGCCCCTGTGTGCTTCAGTCCTTTGCTGTCTACAACATGATAAAGTCATGAACGTAGAGACAGCTGAGTGGATAAAGCAGCCGTTGTTTGTCCTCTTGCTCTTCCCCATCAGCTCCATCAGTCTCTAGTGCAATCAGCTGCTGTGCTGGGCTCCTGCGGGTGGCTCTGGGCAAGGGTCCGGTGTACAGTGTAGTGCACATCACCTCAAAGTTCCAGCCCCTGAAGTACAATCCTTTTGGTCATTCATATATTACAACCCTCTTTTTTCTTCTTTTTTTCTTCTTTTTGTGTTTTTTTTCCCCCTACCCCGTTTTGTTAAAAAAAATAAAGGTTTTTTTTTCTGGGTGTTTTCAGGTTTTGTTTCTTCTCGTTTTCCTTCTTTCTTCTGAGCATGTGGGGAACGTGGCGGTTCATGGGCCACTTCTTACTGCATCCCTCGAAAGAGACACATAGCGAAGACCATGGCAAAGAGCTGGGAAAGGTGGGGAAAAAAACAAAGAATCACAAGAGTTAGCTGTATCTTCCAGAAGATTGGAAACGTCCCCCATGGCCATGGGACCACTCCTGTCATTCCTTCCCATCCATCAGTCAGTGCTGCAGCAAGAGGGACCCTTCTTACAACCCATGGAGGCTGTGGCAAAACATTTTCTGTTTATATCTTAGAGGTGATCCCTCCTTTTATTCCCCTGCCCCAACTGTCTGTGGCAACAGCAGCAGCCTGGCTTCATTCCCAAACTGCCCCTGGTGTCACAGGGAAGCAGGATCCTTTGTCCCTGCTCTGCACATCATTGCCACAGTCCAGAACAGGCAGAGCTCAGCTTTCTGGGGGATGCTGGGGCTCTCTGCCCAAATTACTTTCCTTTGTACAAGACACAGGACCAGGGAAAGCACCCAGCCTTGTCCCAGCAATGCTGCAGGGACATCATTTCTGTGATAATATAACGTCTGGTAGAAGCCTGCTCCTCAGAAACATCACCAAAGAGCAGGTATTAACTGAAGATAATGGAGATGCTCTGGAACCAATACAGTTTCAGCTCTGAACAGAGGTTTTTTTAAAGCAACGGCAGAGTTTGAACACATCAACCAAATAACAGAGCAGTCAGCTTGCTAGTTGCAATGAGGACAATGACTACAGGGGACCATGGAGCTAGTGGTGCATCCCCACATGCTGGCCAGCACGGCAGGGTTGTGGCACACATTATTTCCCACCTTTTCATGGCAAAGGAGCAAGCACCCAGCTCTTTCCAGGCAATTAAACCCACAAGCTGACAACTTGCTCATGATTGGCATGGAGCAGCTTTCCCTGGCCATGGGGGAACCTCACTGCTGGACAGGTTCCAGCACTGATTTTCTTCCAGTCACACAAAGGTAAGTACCTCAATAGCCAACACTCCAATGGCAAGGGCTCCTGCAAGGTACACATAGGTCTCAAAGGAGTTCAGGATCACAGTGTAGCAGCCCTAAGAAGGACAAAACGTGGTGAGACACACCTGAGCAGCGCATCACCTTGTTCTCACAGCACAGCCCTCATGGCAGGGGATTTGGACTAAATGCCATTTGAAGGTCCTTTCCAACCCAAATTGTTCTATGGTTGCGTGGAGACCTCAGAGCAGCCTTCCGGGATCTGAAGGGGGCCTATAGGGATGCTGGGGAGGGACTCTTCATTAGGGACTGTAGTGATAGGACAAGGGGTAACGGGTTCAAACTTAAACAGGGGAAGTTTAGATTGGATATAAGAAAGAAGTTCTTTCCTGTTAGGGTGGTGAGGCACTGGAATGGGTTGTCCAGGGAGGTTGTGAATGCTCCATCCCTGGCAGTGTTCAAGGCCAGGTTGGACAGAGCGTTGGGTGACATGGTTTAGTGTGAGGTGTCCCTGCCTATGACAGGGGGGTTGGAACTGGATGATCTTAAGGTCCTTTCCAACCCTAACTATTCTATGACTCTATGATTAGTACAGAAGATGCTCTCAGATCCAGGCACTACAAGCACGGATCCCTCTCACCCCCTCACCCAGCACAGGAAGCAGAGACCCACAGGACAGTGTCATGGAGGGGAAGGTTTTGTGCAGTGGGATGGGAATGGATCCAACCACACATAACCCCACACTGACCATGAGGAACTGTGACTTCTTGAGGGCAAAGAGGAGCAGCACAGGAGAGTCACTCCATCTGCAAAGGGCAGAGACTAAGCACAGAGGAAAAGACCCTAAGGGCAGATGACAGGCAGATCAAGCTGGCTGGGGAAAAGGGCAACAGCTAAATCTGTTACCTGCTTTCATTTCTCTCTCCCTGCTGTTTGTCATCTCCCTCCTCTCTCTCTTCCCATCTATTCACAGCAATGAGACCTGGCAGAAGCAGTACGGTGCCGTCTGCGATGATCTCTCACCCAGAGTGCCTTTGCCAACCATTTCCAGCTGCCAGGCAAGGAACAGCTCACACGCTGCTTCCAAACTCCCTTTACGCTCTTTCACAATCTGCTATCACGTGCTGGAAAGAGGACCACTGCTTCGTCTGGAGAGAATAGGAGGCTTGTACAGACAGTTCTTAATGCTGAGGTGAACACAGTCAGGAACTTCATAGAATCATAGAATAGTTAGGGTTGGAAAGGACCTTAAGATCATCAAGTTCCAACCCCCCTGCCATGGGCAGGGACACCTCACACTAAATCATATCACCCAAGTCTCTGTCCAACCTGGCCTTGAACACTGCCAGGGATGGAGCATTCACAACCTCCCTGGGCAACCCATTCCAGTGCCTCACCACCCTCACAGTAAAGAACTTCTTCCTTACATCCAATCTGAACTTTCCCTGTTTAAGTTTTAACCCATTCCCCCTTGTCCTATCACTACAGTCCCTAATGAAGAGTCCCTCCCCAGTATCCCTATAGGTCCCCTTCAGATACTGGAAGGCTCTGAGGTCTCCACACAGCTTTCTCTTCTCCAGGCTGAACAGCCCCAACTTGGTGCTCCAGTCCCCTGATCATCCTCGTGGCCTCCTCTGGGCATGTTCCAAAGTTTCTTAAACTTCATGTCGTAGTGACATTGTAAGGAAACACAAGGCTGATCAGGGGCTGGAGCACCTCCAATACAGAGAAAGTTGGGGCTGTTCAGGCTGGAGGAGAGAAGCTGTGTGGAGACCTCAGAGCAGCTTCCAGTGTCTGAGGGGGATACAAGGATGCTGGAGAGGGTCTCTTCATCAGGGACTGCAGTGATAGGACAAGGGGTGATGGGTTCAAATTTAGACAGGGAAGATTTAGGTTAGACATAAGGAGAAGCTCCTCCCTGTGAGGATGCTGAGGCGCTGGCACAGGGTGCCCAGAGAAGCTGTGGCTGCCCCATCCCTGGCAGTGCTCAAGGCCAGGTTGGACACAGGGGCTTGGAGGTCCACGGGTACGATCACCATGACCACTGCAGCAATATCTGTGCCTGCAAGTTCCTTTCCCTGGTGTTGAGCTTCCCTTACCTGTCGGTTCTGAAACCTCTCAATGCCTGTGAGGCAGGCTTCCCTGTTGACAAACATCCCTTCCCGGCTCTGGAGCTCTCGTTGGCAACAAGCCTCCGGTGTCGCACTTTCCAAAGGCGAGTATGTAAGGAGAGGGACAGCTTCGAAATCTTCTGGTCCGTTCACTCCACAGCAGGCAAACTAGGGAGAGGAACAAGAGAAGAAAGGAAGACAAGAGTTGACACTTTGCCCTGAAAGCAGATAGGAGAAACCTACCAAAGACCTATTCTTGTAGTGATCAAAGCTTTAGTCAAAGCAGAGACAAAACAACCGTTGTTTCCAAAGAAGTGGGTTGTTTTTGGACCTCGGAGCCTCTGTTTCATCAAAGCCTGTATGAAAAGTCCCACTGTTCCCGTGTCATCCTATAGACTCTAAGGTACCACTGGGAATATTGCCACGAGCTACACAGGGCTTTGGAGCACATCCAGAATGACTTGCTTGAGGTCACCCAGCAAGTCTGTAAGGGAGCCAGCAGTACAATGCAGGCTCCTCACCACCCCTTCTCCCCACAGCTAATGGTCAGGCATGTTGCTGCTAGATGATTCAAGTAAGGTCCTTTTTTAGGATTCAAGTCAGGTCCTTTTTAAGGATTCAAGTCATACTCTGGCTCTGTCGCCTTCCAGTCAGCAAAAGGAAATGTCTTTATTAAAGTCCTGAATCGGCGTGAAGGGCAGCACTCATCTTTTTCTTTTAAGATTAAAATTGACTTTTAATCTGCAGAGTCTGATGTCCTGCTCTTCACTCCTCAAGAGACACACTGTGGGCTGTACTGAGCACTGTGTAAACACACACAGACAGCTTCTCATAGTAGACAACAACAACTCCAGTTCCAGTGACAGTCAATCTGTAACCTGCCTGATTAGGATTGTAATAGCAAAATCCATTTTGCTGACTAATATTTCTATACTGAAAATACACCATTACACACACTCCTTCCTGATCTGCCACCTACCAACTCACTTCACAAGAGCTATCAAGAACCCCATTAGCTAGCACCAGTTTTTGGCTGGGAATAGTTCTGAAACAGTCTGCAAGGTAAAAGCTCCAGAGTAAATGCAGCAATATTCAGTTGCAGAGCTCCATGGCTTTTTGTGCCCACTGTTGGGAAGCTGGGGGTAACCACTCAGGTCAAATGCCTCAGGCTTTGGCAAATCACAGAGGCCGACAAAGTCATTGGGAGCATCTCCAACCCTAACTGTTCTATGATTCTATCCCTCCCAGGACTGATGGGTGGTCCCTTGTTTTGAGAAAGACTGACTGATAACCCAGTTCTCATCTCCCTTCCACTACTGCCCCAAACCCTGGTGCTATGCTTGATGCAATAGGAGGTTGAAGCAAGACAAACTGAGGGTGTGGGCTAAGCACTGTGTTGGTGGCCACTGGCCATGGGCAGCATTGGACTGGCATGGCCTGACTTACTGTGATCATAACAGAGTTCCAGGTAGAAGAGAAGACATCCGTGTCATTGTTCCTCAGGTAATGCTTCTTCAGCTCCTTGGTGAAAAACTCTCTGGTCAGCTGAAATGCACAGACAGGAGGAAATGTAAAGGTTTGATGGGGCTTGAAGCAGATCTGGTCTAGTGGAAGGTGTCCCTTCCCATCGCAGGGGGTTGGAATTGGATGAACCTTAAAGTCCCTTCCTACCTAAACCATTCTATTGTTCTATGAACACATTTCTCAAGCACTTCTCAAAGTCTTCTTCAAAGTTTCTTCCCAAAGTTGTTTTAGTTTTGTTCTTCTTTATGCAAACCTCAGAGGAGAAACATGGGAAAAACCACTGGCTGAACAATAACTATATCCAGAGTGAATAGTACCTGCTGAATAAAACTGCTCAACTGTTGCTCACTAAAAATCAGGGATTGAATTATAAATATACCCATAAGATAATGTTTACACTTAAGACTTGGTTGTTTCTTTGAATTTTCAGTGCTATTTGAAAGTGTTTCATAAGTTGAAAGAGGACTAAAACAGACTTCAGAAAGGTCATCAAATCCACCCCCAAATAGTAGCTTAATGTACTCTGCTTCACGAGATCTGCAATCAAAGCATGGTTTTCCCCTCAGGTTTCATTTTAAATCAGTTAACTTCCCACTAACAACAGGGGAACTGCTCTGAATTTATTTCCCTGTGTGAGAGAGCAGAATGAAGCCTTAATATGGAACTTTCTGGGAATGAAAAGGAAGTAAAAAGCATAAAATGAATGTTCAGGTCAACTTACAAATCAGGAAAAAAAAGACCATTTCCCTGACAATGTTTTAGATTATCTAAACCAACCCACACACGTGAAGCAAAAAAAATCCTCTTTATATTTCCAGTGTTTAGATAATTCAAGCATTTTTTCCTAAGGTCAGCAATATAAATGAATGGAATTTCATCTACTCCTGTTTACTTTTACAGTAAAATAGGAAAACTGAACAAACACTGGCTCAGGAAAGTTAGACACCTTGAGATTACATTTACTTAGGATCACTCTCTGGAGGACTAGTAAATATATGGACTTAATAGTCTTGTTAAACTGAACACCCTGATTCTGTCTGGTTGCCTTTCCATCACTTCAGGAGGAACATATCAAAGAATCCCCTTTTCAGGTTCCCAGTAGGTCTTGACTTGTGTGGTCCCCTCCCCAAAATACCTTGTGACTTGTGATCCATAGAGGCAAAATCTCTCTAGCACTGCAAAGGGGGTTGAATTCAGTTGGATACAGCATTGCTTTAGTGCTGCACATTTGCAGGATCAGGAATTGAGCTGCCTGAAAAAGACCTTTTTTTCCCAATTTTCCCATTGTTCATCCAGCACTGCAGATGCAGTGACACATACAGCTACAAGTTGGCTTCAGGTTCTTGATATGCAATGTGAAATATCGCACATACACATGCATATGTATGAGATGTATGGGTGGGCACAAAAGCACAAGCACAAAACTGTTTGTTTCCTTTGTATCACAGAATTGAAGGGGAAAAAATGAGGAGGCTGTTGTGACTTTAACAGACTGACAAATACCACTTCATATTGACTTCTCTTTTACAAATACAAACTAAGGCCAAACGTAAGGGTTAAATCAATACTTTGTCACAAAGACTTGATGCAGGTAGCTCAATCTCACTACCTTTTAATTCAAAATGCTGCTAAATCCCTGAATCACTTTTATGGGACAAATATTAGCTCTTTTTTTTTTTCTTTTGCTTTTCGATATTAAAATGCCAGAAAACACAGCATTTTCCTTTGGGACTTTGGCACACTGAGAGAAATATGAAATGTGAAACTGAAATATGCCCTCAGTGTTCTCCTTTCTTTCCCTTTCTCGGCATACTTTTGCCACGCAGCACGCTTCCCTGCTGAGACAGCAGCACATTCTTCTGATGCTTGTCTGTTTCTGAAGCGTGGACTTTGAAACTGATATCACTGTTGGTAATAATCCCAGCTGACTGCCTTTGGCGGGGTCTAAAACAAAAGAGTCATTTCAATATAAAGTGAAACCTTTATTTTGACAGCAGCAACCCCTGAGGAAATTGCTCAGAGTTTGTGTGTGATTTCTTTACAACGCTTGGCCTAAAGCAAAGCCTAGTGCTGAAAGGGTAAGTTTGCCAGGAAGATAACTGATTCCAGTTTGTTGCTTTTAAGCTGTTTGTCCTGAGCATCTGAAGCTCAGAAAAAATGTAAGAAAACCCATGAAAAATAATAACAATAAAAAAATCAATGAGAAAAGCATCTTTCTTCTAAAAAATCACTGACAAAGGAAGATAAAAGTTGTAAGAATGACTTTTGCCCACAGCCCTCCTCTTGCTGAAGCTGGTGACAGCACCGATGAGGTCTCTGCACATTGGAGTCCTATGGCCACAGCTATTTAGAAGGCAGGGAAGAACCTAATCATAAAACTAGATCTTCACATACATTTCTGACAACACAGATCTGCCACAGCCATTAACAGTAATGAGCTGTTCATCTGTGATTTCTCCTAGCTGTTCAGAGAGGAATATCTCCAATACAGAGGAAGCACGTGCATGTGTACATTTATGTGCCAGTGAACGAAGTGCTTTGTCGTACTGGTTCAAAAGATAGCTTGGCTGGGGCTACTGCAGCCAGATGAAGGGGATTTAGGGAAAAAGAGGGCATTTCTGCTCATGCCTGCTTGGAAAACAGGACACGCTCCTGTCCACCTGCACCTGCCTGGAGCATCCTAACGCTTCTGCACAGTACAGTGCTTGTACTGTAGGTACAGCCACCAGTGCTGCACTTCTCACTTCCACAGTGCTTTCCATCCCAGAGACTTCCAGCTGCCCAGCTGAGGGATGGATGGTTCGTGTTCTTTAGTTTTTGCTTTACGTCTGAGGAAACAGAGGTAGCAGGAACCAAAGTGACTTGTTTATTGCCAAACATCCTGACTCCATCCAGAGCCCTGCCACTGGACTCATCTGTTCCTACCATTCTGCTTGCTAGCTTGCTAAGACAATTCACGAACAGTCAAATATTCCTCTAGGGTTTTTCCCACCCAAACCTCTGAAAGCATATAAAGAGCTGTTCCTGTACATAAGTTAAATCGCTCTTTCCTAGCATCTATTATTCATGGAAGACCTTATTTTAAGAGGGGCCTTTCTAGATGGAAAAGGGTTCTCCACCCTCCAAAACCTCCTTTACAAAGGAAGAGAAACTCTGGTACTCCCACAGCTGGTTAACAACAGGCTGTCTTTTCAGACACTGCTGTTAAACACTTCTTTGGGGGTGCAAATAGACTTGTAGATCACATTAACTCACTATCATGAACACCACTTCTTCTCACACCACCACCACACTCTGCTTCATTGACTCTTCCTCTCATGTCAAATCTCAGCAGAAAACATCCCTTTTCTCCTTTATTTTTGCTTCTTAATTTCTTTCACTCCCTCAGCTATTAATAATTTAACTCTGTTGAGTGTTTGGCAGCTGGTTTGGACGTAAAACCCTGTACAAGAGGAAGCTGCACCGAACATCATCTGGGAAGTGAAGAGATAGAGCAAGTCTTCCCTTTTTTGCCTCATTTTATGCACCCAGTGAGGCCACAGCCATATGGACTCATGCAACCACCATCACAGGAACCCACTTGCTAAGCTTCCAAGAAATTTACAGTGCCTAAATATGTATTTACCACCACACACTTTGAAAGTTAACACATTCCACACGGAAAAGCTCGTCTGCACTTGACCTTAAGTTGCTACTGTGAAGAATTCTTCCCGTCATGGGGTCACTGAAAGGCCACCTCTATCCCCACGGACATTCTGTCCAGCCATTTAGCCTCACCGTAGCCCAATGATGACAGCAAAATTAGCCCCAGGTAATTACCAAGTCCAAAGAGCTACCACCAAAATACATAGGAAAAAGGGTCGGGCTCGTTTTACTTTTCAGAAGAAACCTGAGAAGAGAACAAGCCACAAGAATCTGCAGGCTGAGTGTAACTTCTGCACAGAGCCATCCCCAGCTATGTTGGGATTTGACGCTTTTCATTCCTTCCCTTTTAAGCCCTTCCTGTCAGTCATTCTGACAGAGTGGGAAGCTGGTGACACAAACAGGGAGACGAGCTCAAGAAAGATAGGAGTTTGTTCCCCTTCAAGTTTTCTCTCACAAAACACTGCCAGATGCCACAGAAGTCTAGAATAAGCACCATGACCTTATCGTGCAAGATAACATATCCTCACTTGCCCCACAGCTTCCATCGAAGGCACTGATGCTTTGCCCAGAAGCAAGATGTGACTGAGGGAGGAGGACACAGCAGCCCTGCACACCTTTCACACAGACTTGCCACCAGCTTGACCAGTTTCTTCTCCAACTGCCTTCCACCCTAAGCCCATCCACTGCACAAACACCAGCCTGTCTTGCTTTCAGCTTCCTGGGTCCTCAATTATTTGCTTATCAAATCTTCTCATAAAGTATATCCCAACTCAAGAGAAGCATCATTGTACATGGCCCTTCTATGCTCATGCCACATTTCTGTCCCCTTCAGTACAGGGAAAGTGTTGTATGTTCTTTCACTACTGATAGAGGCCAAATAAACAAAATAAATACTAACAGTCTGTAGTGACCATCTCTACCTGCCACAGTTTTGTCATGGCCATCACTCAGTCATATTGCAAAGATGGGTTGACCTGGGAAGCACGGATCTAGTTCAACCAGGCTCCTCTTTCACGTGTGGGAATGGGAAAAAAATGCACAAACCTTTGCTGGTTAGAGAAACAAATGAGACTGTGCTTACTACTAGTGTAGAAAAAACTTACTACAAGCTTACTACTAGCATCGGGAAGGGATGATGGTCATGTAATAATATGTATAGCAACAGAATAGAGAAAGCTGTGGAGAGAAGAACCAGAAACCTGTGAGCTGGGCAATATGCAGGGAATCCATTGATGGGACTCAGAATGGGACAAGGGGAGACTTGCTCAGGGCAGGTCAGGAGGGATATCTTACTATCTCAAGCAGGGATATCAGAAGGGATATCTTATCTCAAGCAGTCTTGAGGGGAATCTGGTGAGCACCAGAACATGAAAGTTCAAGAAGGAATATGATTAGAAGATGCACAAGAGGATTTTTTTTTGCACTGCAGAATGATCATTGGCTCTGTTGGGAAAACAGCAGGGTTCACTATTAGTATTAATATTAAATACGTGCTATATTGAAAAAAAATGAAAGAGTTTGTTTTAACCTTAGTGTGACTTTATAATAAACTTCTCTCTGGTGGAATGTGCAGCTGGTTTGGCTGCAGAAGAAGCAGGAACACTCTAAGATCTTCAGGATTTAAGTAGTCCCCCAGTGTATATCCCCCTTGTACATAAACCATCCGCCCTGCGCACCCCAGGTTAGTTAGCATTCACTGGCTTGCTGGCAGTTCTGCACACTGAGGGTAGGAACAAAACAGGTTTGTTGGTATTTAAAGCAAACAATAGCTCTACAAACAATGAGCCACCATCTAACAACATCTCCAGCTGCATACAACCCCACTGGGGACCAGAGTTCTCCCACCATTGGGTACTTACATTTTCTCTGAAGATAAAAGCCAGGATAGCAGCTGAAAGCTCCGCCAGGAAGATTAACAAAATAAACATGAAGAACTGGAAGAGAGAAGATGAAATACAAATCAACCAAACATATACTATTAGGTGCTTGCAATAGGTAGTACGAACACAAGGGTCTGCTTGCCACCAAAGGGGTGGAAGAAATAGACTCATAGAATGGTTAGGGTTGGAAGGAACCTTAAGACCATCTAGTTCCAACCCCCAAATAACCAAGGAAACTTTTTTCCCTAACAATAAAAAAACCCTATGAGTAGGTAACCTGGAGCAGAAACAGCCCCTCTCTGCTGTCACAGGAAGTGGGACTTGGGATGCTTTTGCCTGGTTCTAATGGACGAAAGGGAGTAAGACAACAGCCACATAGTATCTCCCGATAATAAATGTGTACCAGGTTAAAACAGTAAAGCCTACTTGGATGGAAAAAGTAATATGATTGTGTAGATGCTCATAGAGTGTTAAACTGTGCTGACACAGATGTATGCATCACAAGCGTATACCTACATATGCACACACACCCATCACTACAACATAAACAATTTTACTGTCATACAATCATAGCTCATTGTGTATGGAAGGAGGTAGTGGGACATCATTTACATCTTTGACCAAAAATGGGCTCTTTTCAGAGTATTCTACATTTCAGGACAAGATTACCCTTGATTAATATCCCTTACCACACAATGGGGTTGCACTGAGTTAAGTATTAACCACACAGAACCTCAAAAAGTTGATAACATACCATCATAATTTTAATTTGATTATGCAAGTATCATCCATGTCTTGTATAGCATCCATAGTGTGCATATTCATATCCATACATTAAGTGCACTGTTGCATTGATATGCTAGTTTCATTCTGCTGCAATCCATAAGAAACAGTAAAAGGAATAGGCAGGGATGCGCCCTCTAAGATCTTCAAAACAACTATTGGTTCTGAGGAGCAACTATAAGAGAGCAGAAAGTGGCTAGGCTCTATCTTATCCCACAGTGGCATTTATTTCCGTTCTTAGAGACAAAATAGTGGGCTTGAGGAGCCATAAGTTTGAACTAGATGGGCAGGTTTTTATGTTCTTATAAAGGAGAAATCACCATCTGTGATTCTAAATTCAAGGATCCCAAGAATTACCCACAGACTCGAAGATGATTTTACAAAGCTGAGTGAATGTTCAGAAATGAACTCAGGTTTTGGAGCCATGTGAGAAAACCAGGAGTGAAAAGAGAATAAGACAGCATCACATGGAGGGCAATATATGTGCAATACATGTTAGCAGTGAAGGTGGTTGAAGCAACAAGTAGAAATGAACACAAGAGAAGTTTGGATGTTTGTTTTTTTTTGGTGTACATGAGAAGGTTATTGAAGGTCTTTCTGAAACAGAAGCAGGCAGATGGGGCCAGAAGTACTATTGTGATCCCCAAGCAATGATTTATAAACAGTGTCTGAAATACTGGGAACTCTTCATTTTGGTAATGGAAAGAGAATTCAAAATACCTGCTTGAAATGGACAAAATGTTGTGTTTTTTGTCAATTATCAGGGCTGTAAGTGATTTTTCCACCCTGGAAAAGTGCACGCACCACCCTGTCCCATTTGTCTACCTGATTCTGCAGGGAAAACAAAAGAAAAGGAGCCTGGACTCCAATGACAAAACAAGAAGAGTCAGATGAGCAGGGACTTGGGTTGCTAATAGGATGCTGTTGCTTGATTTTGCTGAACTAGTTAACTCTCTAATTTATTCTTGCTGCTGGAGTTTTCTGTGTGGTTTCTTTTCTTCCTGCTCAGAGACTGTTTTAATTTCACCACAGGAGGGCAAAGAACAAGTGATGAGAATGAAGGATGCTTTGCAAATTCACATCATCATCCATCAAGGGATCTCAGCGTAGTCACAAAGAGGTCTAAGGTGGCCATGAAGTGATTAATCCCATCACCTTGCTAATTGCATTTCATTTACTGATTACTGGGAGACACATGTTCACCCATGCTCCAGCTCAGGTCTGTGAAGAAGTGGAAGCAGTTACTCCCAGATTATCTCTGATAAGCTTCATTATCATTTCCAAACTGATTCACACTTATATTCTGCAGTCTGCACTGCAGATTTATAACCGTTACTGTAGAAAAGACATGAGCAGCCATTAGGGCTGATGAGAAAAAGAAGATGGATCATCAGTGTCTCAGAACTTGCTCTTATTCTGCATTTTAAGCAGAGTCAAAATCTGCTTATTTTGTTTTGCCTCCCAAAATTAAATTGATTACTGATGGATGAGAGCACTAAATAGCCAACTGGTTAATGTGTGGGACACAACAGCCTCATATTCAAATTCATGCTGAATTCCCAACTCTTGAACGTGGGTAACCCCCACATGCAAGGTAAACTTCCTGAGGAGTGGGGTCTTGCATGTTGGTCAACACTCCTGCCTCAGCTCCTGGTGATGGTTGCAGGTTTATCAGATGTTTCCACAACTCAGTGTTTTGTGATTCTTTTTCACATCTCATCTTCTGCTCCAGTTTCAGCAATGCTGTTCCACAAAATCAACAACAGTCTTTAACCCAAAAGACCCACATTTTCATGCTGAAACGTTTCAGGGGCTACTGCATCCAGATCACAACAGTGCAAAACAGGACAATTGCAGTCGAAACTAAGACAAATGACATTAGTATGGACTGTTCTTGTTGCAAAGCTGAATCAGTCCTGTAGTATAATGTTGTATGCTCAACAGCATTTTAGTTTCTGATGTTCATGGTGTTCTTTTGCAGTCAGAGAGCCTTGAGGACAATCTACAAGTTACTCAATGTCTGATTTGCAGGCCAATGTTTGTTGCTTTTTGTGAGCCAAGTCCAAATGATGGGAAATCTAGAAACACTTCACAGCCTTGTGCTTAATGCAACATGTTAGGTTACACAGTGATGCTTCTGTACCAAGAGACAAGCAGCTTGATTTAAAATACAAGTTCTTGCAGGCACAGAAGCCAGAACCTAGAGAACATGCATTTGCGCATCTGTCGTGTCCCTTCTATCTCCTGTTTACATTTGGACTAAAAGCTTCAGACATGCATTATGCATCACTGTGAAATCTCACTGGAGCAGCTCTCTGGCTCATCCATTCTTTAACAACTTTGTAAGTGGGATTGATTTGATCTAGCAACTTTTCCCCAAGTACCTCCCCCCTGAAGCCTCACACTCTCCGCTTCACAGAGTGTTCCCAAGTCTGACTTATGCTCATGAATGGTTTGCCTTTTCAAACCCTAAAACTTACTCCCATCAGACTTCTGGTTTCACAGGTGCTTCATGCATTTTAACATCAGTTGGTGTGGTCCCCAAAAGAAGCAGGGTATCTCTTTCACTTGGTACCAGCACAGATCCCTGACAGAGAGCATCACTGCTGTTGTTTAACAAAGTTGACTTTGATACCAGAAGCTCTGGAAGAACTGATCAAGGTGGAACACCAACTCCTCATCCAGTAACTACTTTCAGAGTTTCTCCCAGTCCACAGCATTACTTTCAGCCCATGTATTTCTCCCAGTCCAAGTATAAATAATAGCAAAAGTAAATAGATAAAGCAGCAGGGATAAGGACTATCTCTAACAATCAGAACCACAAAACTGAGTGCACTGGAGTATAACTAAAAGCATCAGAAGGACCATTCAAACCATGATGCAACTCTGTGATGTTAAATCAGGAGAGAACATGGCCAGAGAAACCTTTTTCCAGCCAGTCTATATGCAGTGGACATGGTCCAAGCTGAAATTATTACACTCCCATTCACTTTCAATCAATACTTGTCATCAAACATAACTTTTAGTTTCTTAACCTGACAGGGACAGGCTTTTGAAGTTACCTCTGGCTTATTGTGCCTGACCCTTTGCATGTCATTAGGTTCCTGTGCGCAGATCTTCATAACCCCACAGGCACATTTGGTTTGCTGATTTACTTGTGAGGTGAGGCACTAAATCAAGCCACAATGGCTTCCAGAACAGGGCTCTCATTTGCAGGTTATGAATTCAAGGTGTGGGTGAGCTAAAGGCCATAGAGAATTCCTTCAGTGCAGCCATGCTTATCTCTAGGAAAAAATGGGTTTGCATTCCAGAAAGAGAACTTTCCTCTTCTGTTTAGACACAAGTCTCTTTTGCACCATGAAGCAGTTATGCAAGATACAACCATAGCAAAACACCATAAGATCAAGATTTAAACAAAACAAAACCATCCCCCCCCAAACCCCTAACAAAGAAAAACCCAAAGCCTCAACACCCAACAGACCCAGATGGGGAAACAGAAGGTCATGCACAGTAAACCTGATGATTTTTGTCTTTCAACACAGATCTTGTAATGCCTTCCAGTAAGAGATAATGGCTGAAAACCCTGCAGTATCAGAACTTACGGTGGAGGTCAAAAGTGTCTTATTTTAGAGGCTAATCTCTTTGGAAATATTATTTGATGACCACAAGGAATGGAATTTAACCCTATCAGTCAGGGAAAATCTGCCTGAAGAGAACAAATCTGGTATGTTTTAGGAGCAGAATAGGCTGCATAAGGAAGCAACCGGTTATTGAGAGCTGCAGTAACAAACCACCATGTGGTTCTGAGCTGGTCATTTTGCTGACATGGGGATCTGTTACACAGAAGCTCTATATATTCCCTCTGCTTTGCTGTGAACTACCAAGAAATGAATCCACAAGTGGAGCAGTGGGGTTTGGGTGGCCAAGAAAGGGCTATTTTTGGTCACTTTATAAAAAGAAAACCCAAACAACCAAATAGGAACATTTTGAAACAAAGCTTAACAAGGTCAAATACACTCCCAGACTCCATAGCCAATGGGCTCAAATCTGGTATAGGGAGAAAGCAAATTCTCTGTATTTCTAGCTGTGTGCAAAAGTACCTAAAGCCTATTTACTATCTAAGGAAATAACAGCTACAATAACAGACACCTATTTCATGCACTTATCACAGCATCCTCTATTCAGTCACCCCCATTCCAAAAGGCCAACAGACACTTACAAAGAGCAGGAGGCATTTGTTCTCACGGATGGCACCGCAGCAGCCGAGGAAACCCAGCAGGAAGAGCATGGCTCCCATAGCCAGCATGATGTAGGCTCCCGTGAAGAGCAGGGGGTTGGCAGCCACTATCTCTCGGAAGCCTGTAGGATCCACAATGACCCAGATCCCAAGGCCCAGCAGGCATGCTCCTCCCAGCTGTCATGGCACAAGGAGAGGGACATGGGTCAACTGATGCAGGAAAATTGGGTTCATTGCTATGTTTTGATTAGAAGTGTTTACCTGGAGAGCTTCTGTTTCTCGGTGGCATATATTCTCCACTAAGAAGGTGACTTGATATGCTATCTCTTGCTCACTAAATGACCATTTGCAGCAAAAGCACCTTCCTTGCCATGTCACTAGCAACTGTTTACAACCTCCCTAATGCTGAAAGACTGAACCTTGAGCTGCTGCCCCATAGAATCAACCAGGTTGGAAAACACCTTTAAGACCATCAAGTCCAACTGTTCCTCAGCACAGCCAAGGCCACCACTGACCTATGGCACTGAGGCCTCGTCTCCACAGTGTGTGAACACTCACAGGGATGGTGATTCCAGCTCTGCCCTGGGCAGCCTGTTCCAATGCCTGAGCACCCTCTGGGGAAGGAATTGTTCCTCAGCTCCATCTAAACCTCCCCTGGTGCAGCTTGAGGCCGTTTCCTCTTGTCCCATCCCTTGTTTCTTGGGAGAAGAGATCAACTACAACTTCCTTTCTGGCAGTTGTAGAGAGCAACTACCTGTAAGTAGCAGCCCAGTGAAGGGGCACACATGAATGATTGCCACCACAGAAGCCAGAGTGGCTGGGTGCTCCCACCCTTCCTGTCTAGACTAGAGCAATAGGGCGACAGAGAATGACCCAATGCATGGTAGGAAAACGACTGTGTTTCCATGTGAAAACCTCATCAGGGCACCCAGGACCAGAAAACAATTCTGCCATTCCAGGATAGACCCATGTACACCACCAGTTACAGCTTTCCCTCTGGTCTCCCTTGCCAAAGACAGGAATAACTCAGACAACAGTGACCACAGCACTGGCTTGCAGAATGTATGCGTATCTTTGGATGCTGCAAAACCCTCAGGGATTGGCAGTGTAAAGCTGAGGGGACATTCTGTACTGTGATGATGTGACCGAATTACAGCCTGTCCTGCTGGGGAACAGCAGGCTGCCCAAAACAGGAGGATTCAGGAGAGAAAGTGGATATTAATACTTACAAATATGAAGAAATTGAAAAGAAACATCAGGTACTTCATGCAGCTCAGGCAGTCTCCCTCCATGGTCTTCAGGCTCCTTGACCCAATTCTTCCTGCAAAACATCAACGCTCCCTTAGCACCCTCATTTACTATTAGTGTGATAGAATCCTGTCTCCACTCATATTTCCTCCAAGGTCCTGTGGAGTTCATTATACAGAAAAGCTCATTTCTTACCTGAACAAGGCTACATAGCACAGGCTAGTAAGAGATAATGATCGCTGCTAAGTCCCTTTGCATTATTCCAGGTCTAAAGGTGAACACAGATATGGAGGGTTGAGGAGAGGAAAGGTCTAGCTTTGCTTGCAGAGGAAGATGAGGGAAAAAAAACCGCTCTGCACATGAAGATACTGTTTTTCCCAGTCCCTAGAGCCTGTCAATTCTAAGAAGCGTGGAATGAACCTGCCCACATCACAACAAAAAAGGTCATATTGACACAGAAGCCAGAATAAGCTATATCCATTTAAAAGACTCGCAAGCAAGCAACTGGGATAGTTAGCTCCGTACAAGTTTCCTCTGCAGAATGAATGCCACTCAGACATGAAACCTGACATCTGGAGATTCTGGGCTGGGATAACTGCAGTGTGGATGTGGGAGGGCCTGAGGATGCTGTCCTCACACAGATACTCAGCTTGGGGCACACCCTGCACTGTGACTGTGCAGTGAAGTTATGATGTTCTACACCCTACCCCACACAGGTCTTTTGCAGGCAGAGCCCATAGGTTGACACTGGCAAGCTTTTAAGACCAGGAAAAATGCTAAGGAGTCTTAACCAGTTTGAATCCCCATGTCTGAATTAGACAACAAACTGCTTAGGACAGTACTTCCATTGGAAGAGCAGCTATAAATCCTGACCAGGTGGGGCTACATATGAAGGAAGTGCTGCTTCCTGTTGTATGAAGTCTCCCAATATCAATTAAGTCATCAACTACCCTAAAGGACAGATAAATACATACATGAAACAGTAAGACTTTGTCTGAAACATAAGATAATGCAGTCATGGCACCATGCACAGATGGATGCCTACATTCACAATCACAGAGGCATGAGTTTGCTTAGCTCCCTAGAGAAGCCTTCCCAAAGCCCACATGCTTCTGAACCCATCTCTTTACCTTTCTCCACTGCAAATGCCATTCCCTAAATAGATCCGCATCCAGTGATACGCTATGTTAGTAAAGCACATTCGATTCACTGAAACAAAAAGCAGAAACTATGCAAGGTTTTCACCAGGCCAGAAATGAAACTCCTCCTTTCACTCCCTCATTGTTTTTGTTAATCCACAGACCTTGTGAGTGCTGTCAAGCCTCGTGAGGGGCTTCCGTCTGTGATGGGAACTGCTCTGCTTTAGCCTAAAAGCTAAGAAAACCAATGGCAGTCAGAGCTCCCAGAAAAGGGCCGCCTGAGGCAGAAGGCAGATTTCTATCATACAGTGTGTGTCTGCTGCGCTTGACTTGGGTTACAATCAAATCAGTTCCTTCCTATTGGCAAAACGGGCTGAGGTGCAAATGGTGCAACACAGCGTCTCCTGTGGACATGCAGCTGCTTTCTCTCTGCATCTTCATGTACCTGGGGCAGGCCAGCAGCATGCTCTGCTGGCTGGGCACTTCTCAGGGAATTCCCTTAGCTAAAAGAATGCTGAGGAGATAATAGAATCAATCATAGGATACCATGTTGGAAGGGACCTCAAGGATCATCTGATTCAACCTTCCTTGGCAAAACCATGACCTAGACAAGATGTCCCAACACCCTGTCCAGCTAAATCATAACAGGGTCCAGGGCTGGGGAATCCACTACTTCCCTGGGGAGATTATTCCAATGACTGATTGTTCTCATTGTGAAAAATGTTCCTCTTGCATCCAATTGGAATCTCCCCAGGAGCAACTTGTGCCCCTCACCCCTCATCTTTTCTATGTCACTCCTTGTAAAAAATGAGTCAGCATCTTTGTAGCCACCCTTTGGATACTGGAACATGGTGATAAGGTCTTCCCTGGGCCTTTTCTGTAGGCTGAACAAGCTCAGCTCTTTCAGCCTTTCCTCATGTGGCTTCCCAGTCCTTGGATCATGTTTTATGGCCCTTCTTGAGACCCTCTCCAGCCTGTCCACATCTTATTTTTGCATAGCAGGGACCAAAACTGAACACAGCATTCCAGATGTGGCCAGACAAACTGAGTAGAGAAGGATGATGACTTCTTTGTCTCTTCTGGTGATACCCTTGTTGATGTAACCCAGCATCCTGTTGGCTTTCTTTGCCACAGCAGCACTCTGTTCACTCATCTTGATCATGCTGTCCACCAGCACGCACAGGTCCCTTTCCAGAGAGGGTCTGCAAAGCCAGGCTTACAGTCCACCTCACTTCTGAAGAAACACAAATCTGAACCACAGAACAAGAGCAGTATTTTTCTTTACAGTTTATTTTCTTCTGCCTCTGATACACAACTCTTAGGCTCAGAGAGACTCAAAGCCAAGACCACAACTGCAGTAGACAGAGTGGGGCACAGAGCTTTGCCATGAGCCTGGAAGAGGTGCCCACAGCTTTTTTTGAGGGTGTTTAAAGCAATGTCTGCAAACCTCATAGAGAAAGGAGAAGAGAAGGCTGCGTGGACACCTCATAGAAGCCTTCCAGTATCTGAAGGAGACCTATAGGGATGCTGGGGAGGGAGTCTTCATTAGGGACTGTAGTAATAGGACAAGGGATAATGGGTTAAAACGTAAACAGGGGAAGTTTAGATTGGATATAAGGAAGAAGTTCTTTACTGTAAGGTTGGTGAGGCACTGAAATGGGTTGCCCAGGGAAGTTGTGAATGCTCCATCCCTGGCAGTGTTCAAGGCCAGGTTGGACAGAGACTTGGGTGACATGGTTTAGTGTGAGGTGTCCCTGCCCATGGCAGGGGGGTTGGAACTGGATGATCTTAAGGTCCTTTCCAACCCAAACCATTCTATGATTCTATCTTTAAGTCCAGAAGGGTAAGGAGCTGGGGGGTGGGAGAATTCCTCAATTTCATGGAAAAGGTGAACCTTCAGCTCCCCTAACCCATGAGCTTGGAGACTGTATTAGAGAGCAATATGGAAATACAGATACATCAATAGGATACTAGAACTTCAAGAGCTCCCCAGTTAGTGGCACCCATGTGTTCCCATCATCACACACACAGTTATGCTCCAGTGAAACAAAGGATGGCTACACCTGAAAGTTATCTGAGAAACTAATAAGTCCTGCTGCCTTGAGCACCCACCACATGATCCATATCACAGCAGCCTTAGGCATAAAAGGACTAAAAAGCAAACCACTTGAGCCGTATTTTGCCACTTCACATCATTCACACTCATCTCACTGCTGAGGCACCCACATGAAAAACATTGCCTGTGGTCCAAGAAGCAGCAGCGCCTGAGCCCAACGCTGTCTTGCTGCTTTATAGAGACGATAAATCACATTCCCACCTTACTTTTCTTTCCATGTCTGGGTCTGCTTCCTCTGCAAGATGAGCAAGCTCCCTTGGAACTGCTCTGATTTAGTACAGGCCTCCTTTTCTTTTCCAAGATAAACCTAAGTTATGCTTCCTTGCACTGCTTCTGCCCATGCACCCACTCAGTATGACAAATGTCTGCTAGGCATGAGCAGGGAAAAGAGACTCTAAATCCACTGAGCAAACTTCCGTGGCAGGCCCATGTTGTAGGAACCTGGGAGCAGGATGAACACAGGCACACTCAGCTTTGATAACTGAGGACTCCCTTGTTTGCCTGGGCAAGAAATTGTCCCCATTGGTGGTGCTGAGCTCAGATATATGATTTCTAAACCCACTTCACGCAACAAAGCAACAACTAAGTGAAACCCTGATAATTGTGAAGTGCTTCAAGCCAGGAACGCACCCTGTGGGGCTTACAAATCCCAGGGTCCTTCAACTCAGGATGTGGAAATGGAAGTCAGTGGCAACAGGGCAAGGTCTGGGCTGGCAAAACCAAGAACATGCATGTCAGAGCTTCCACATCATAACAGCTCAATGCAAACTACTAGAATATGCCAACCCACTCATCTGATCTGAGAAACAGGAGCTCTGAGCATCTGTTTCAGTGCTTGGAGAGACACATACATCCCAGCATAACACACGCTTTCCAGTTTCTGATGGGTATCCAGATTCCCAAACACCACTTGCAAGATCACCATTTGAATCCTGTGATTGCACTGATTAAAACAGGGCGAATCAACCAAAAACATGAGCTGACCTCTGTTGTAGGGTTTAAATTTGTTTCCTGACAGAAGTCAAGCACTCCAGCGTGTATGAAATATATTACCATCTAGTTCATATATGCTGTAGACTTTGGAGAGTATACAACTGACTCCACTTACAATCAACACAAGCAAAATGCAAATACCATTACTTACTAATGGTGTAATTATGATACCCTTTGCGCCAATTGCTGCTTTTCTAATTAGCTGAAGGTACCTCAAGTCCCCAGTGACAGGCTGCATGGAATAAATAGCTGACATGAAAGGAGAATCCTGACCCACAGAGCTACTTCCTCCTTCCACTTTTCTTTCTAAGCCATACACACAAAAGGCAAATCTTGACAGTTACTCCTACAACACGCTGATGCAAGTGCGATAAAACCCAAATGCATATGTCTTAATTCACCTCTTAAAAATATCTTCTCCCCCTCCTCCAGGCCCCAAATTCGTGACGGATTAAGTTCTCCTCCACAGGAGACATTTAATGCTAAGCAAACATTAACAGCCAGAACTGCAGAAGACAGCGGCTGACAGATGCTTTCTCTGGCTTGTCCCATCTCAGACCTGCGAGACACATGAGATGCATTTGTTTTTGTCTGAAATGTAGCTATAAATGTTCAGCTTTTTCTTAGGCAGATTATTCCACATTTCACCCTCCCTAATACGAGTTTTATCTCGCAAAGTGATGGGAAGGCTCAAAATCCCCAGCAGGGTAGCCAGGAAACATACCCCAGCTGCTGTAATCAGTTAGGAATATAGCCTAGTTTTTCAAGGCAATCATAGAATCATAGAATAGTTAGGGCTGGAAAGGACCTTAAGATTGTCAAGTTCCAACCCCCCTGCCATGGGCAGGGACACCTCGCTCTAAACCATATCACCCAAAGCCTCGTCCAACCTGGCCTTGAACACTGCCAGGGATGGAGCATTCACAACCTCCCTGGGCAACCCATTCCAGTGCCTCACCACCCTAACAGGAAAGAATTTCCTCCTTGTATCACTTTTTTGTCCTCCAGCCACCATTTATTTCCTTCCTTCTGACATTTGCTTTTGCAGCTACCTTGAACTTCACACATCCAAAGGCAGTTGCTCCACCACACCCCCAGAAACTGCTTCCATGTTTCTCTTTGCTACCACTGGCATTTTCCTCTCCCACCGTATCCTTTTCACACTGGATTGAACCCCCTAGTTTCACTTCAGTTGCTCCATTGCCTTGGAGATGGCAAAAGAGCAATGACTCTGGATGTCATCGAGTACAAGCACCCACTGCCACCAACCGGGGTCAATCACAAAGTTTGACCCAACTTTAGTTACAGCAGGTTGCTCAGAGTAACATCAATATGAGTATCTCCAGAGCCTGAGTTTCTCCCATCTCCCCAGGCACCTCTTACAATGTGTGATCACCCTCCTTGGGAAAAGCTTTTTCAAGACAGAGCCTCCAGTGTAAGTTACCTTGTGCAAAAGGAATAAGAGCATCCCTCAGATGTGCCAGTCTATTAGGACTCTCAAGAGCACCTTATCTTCACCAGTCTAAATCATTTCATCTTCCATATCTCTCCTACTCTCTACTGAAAAGAAGGATGTGAACCATTTTCTTTGCCTACCATTCCAACCACATAATACCCACCCCTAAAATACCTCTGCAGACTATTTGTATTCCACTACTGTTGTGGTTTAACCCCAGGGTTAAATGGGTTTAAACCAGGGTTTATGGGTTTAAACCCCTAAAATTCAGACATTGTGCACTTGCCTGATAGCTTGTCAGAGTCTCTCCATTTCAAATACCTGATAGAAATCACAGAATAACTAAGATTGGAAGAGCTGTCTAGATATCATCTTGTCCATCCCTCACCACTTTTTCAATCATTTCTATCACATTGTCCACGTACATCTTTTTTGACATAAGTATCTCTTTGCCACCAACATGCCTGGATACCTTGTGCACTGAACTGATCTGTTGCTTCCTTTAAAACCTAAGAACCAGTTCTGTAGTACCTCCTGTAGCCAAAGGCTTGAGGAACAAATGGTGTTAATTCACACCTACTTTCATATTCATACAGAGCGCAACCAGGTAAAAGCAGAAGACATGTTTGAAGCTCTCCAGAGAGCCTATAAAGGAATTAGAAAATATAGACTAGATTCTCTTCAAGTCAAAGCATCAATTTCTACAGGCTGTCCCAGCTGAGAAGTCACTAGAAGCATTCCTGAAGCTGTAAGCTTCATCAGTGGAGAAGGACCACCAAAACCTAGCATTGCTCCATGATGTTCTCTACCGAACAACATGGAAACCCACCCTTTAGCTTGAAGGTAAGGAGGCTTGACTCATCATGCTTGCCTTCTTTCATGGAGCTGCCCACTCCAATAGTATTTCTGTGTTCACTGTCTGCAGCAGTATCCACCTCCTTTAAACTGCGGTGTGCTATGAAAACATCTAACTGGTGGTGCTTTCCACAAAACCCCCTCAGAGCATCATTTCCACCCAATCTGCTCCTCTAGGTAGAAAAGAGATGGGGCAGTTTATTTAGGACACCAAAGGCAGACAATTTGTTGCAGTACATCTTGCAGATGATATGAGGGCAGATGAGCTGTGTATTTCTTACTCCCCTCCTGCACACCTAACCGTCCTTGACAGAAATACAAAGAAAGCACAAAGAGAGCCATAATCAAGACTCACCTTCACAAATCTTGGGACTTGAAGCACGCTGTCTATTTTACTCTTTAATTCTCTGTGTGTCCCATGTATCTCTTTCTAACCAAGCTTGTCCTGGAAGAGAAAAATATGCAATTACTGCAGAAGTCAATAAAATGCAATCATGTTAAATACACAATTTATTAAAACACACCGTCCTGATGAATATGCTCAGTCTAATTGCCACCTTAATTTAGTGTACATTAGCACTAATGAAGAGCTTTTAATACCCAGTGAGGGATCTGATTCCTCAGCATCCTTTAACAACCTTTGGGGTGTTTTAAAAGCCCACATACCACGTTTAAATCTATAGTCCCATTACACACGCACCTCATACCGCAACAGGACTAGATTAATACCAGCTGCACCTTCAATATTTTATAGGAGGTTTAGACAAACTTTAATCTGCTGTGACTTTATAGCCCATTTAGCGGGAAAATGGGATACGCATAGGAAGGGAGGTGGAATACATCTTTGGGAAGCTCAGCCCAGCCATTAGGAGCAACGGCCTGAGACACTGGGCACTGTTCCTTGTTCTTCCAGCCAGCTCTCACGCCAAGTTGAGCAAACTATTTCTCTCCCTCTGCCTCGTTGTCACTGCCTGGGAAGCAGCAATAGAGAGGAATGGTGAAGCCATCACATTGCCTACCCAAAGGCATTAGATAAAGCAGCACAGGCAGAAGGACCTGGGTGCACACAGCCACTGTCCTTGAGCTAGAAGTTCCCATTTTATCAATACATTTTAATTTCTGCCTGCACAATGCTAATGACAAACCCTGGCTTGGTAAAAGGGATGTGAGATTACAGACTAACGTGTTCGTTTGACTGATGGTTCCTCAGGGAGTCCTTTCCCAGGTTGGTTTTTCCACCCATCCAACACTGCAGAGCCTTGGGGAAGAGGCAGCTTTTATCTATTCAAACAGCACCCCACGTCATAAGGGTTAAAGGCCAGGTTGGGCAGAGCCTTGGGCAACATGGTCTAATGTGAGGCATCCCTGCTCATGGCAGGGGGTTGGAACTGGATGATCTTAAGGCCCCTTCTAACTCAAACCATTCTATGATTGTATGATTCACTCACAGTCGCTCAGCACTGTAACTCACTCATCCTTCACAGATTGCTTTGCTGAAGCCACTGCATGCCTGTGAGGGCTCAGATAATTCACCTGGGTCTATCCCTGCTCTCCCACTGCCAGCATTTCCTCATCATTTCTGGAGGAGGTACATTTAACATCTGTTTCCCACAAACATTTGTGAATGCGCCTTGGAAAATTGCCTCCCATTAAGGCTTCTGTGAGTAAAAGTCTATCGTTTGTTGTTGGCAGGAGGTGAACACAGAGTTTCAAGGTGGCTGAAACTATTACAATATAAACCATATAATGAATATTCATAGACTTCTTTGTTTTGCATTAATCCCTCACATTTTGTGTCCTTCCTCTCTCGCTGTGGACCTAAACCCTGAATGATGTGCAGGGATGGCTTCCCTTTTGGAATCTGGAGGGTACAAACATCTGTACCCAGTCTCTGCTGCTAAGTACTGAAGGCATCTGATGAGCAGTTGCTCTATTGCCCCACTTCATTACAGTGCTGTGTATGAAGCCTGTCCCCAGGTCAGCTTTACCACCAGTGTGGAAGTTCAGAGGGTGCTATGTGACCAGCTCAGGGACCTCTAGAGAGGGGCTTGGAAAGTCAACAGTGAGGACAGGACAGTGTCACTGCCTCACAGTCCCTTCTTGCAGTCTGGTTCCCACCTTTCCCTTTTGATCTATCTCTTTTGTGTATGGGCACACTTCATCCTGTGCTTTGCATACGCAACTAAGAGTCAATATCTTCAGTTGCCCCATCCTGTGATGCTGTTATCCTGGGATAGCTGCTGCCAGGAGAAGGTGGCTCTAACTTTAAAGCAGAGATTACACTGTGCCATATAAACCTATCATTAGGAAAATAAGCAGAATGACAGGATTCCTGTTCCTACAGCATGTGCATATAATTACATCCCTACAAGCCCTCAAAGGTCTGCGTGGGAGAGGAAGTTTATTTTTCCTATTCCTCTGAAGTCACAATATTTTAAAGAAATTGCAGCACCACAGAGAGGAAGAGCTTTAAATGCTTCAGTAGGTGCCAGCAGGTGCTGTGTCAGGAGGGATGAAAGAGCGTGCTTGGTGCCAAGCAATAGCAATATTCCATCTTACTCTACAGCCCTAAAGGGGAGGAAGTCCCTGCCAAACAGACTCTCTTTGGTTAATAGCTATGATTTCGCCATTAGGGAGGATTGCAGAAAGTGCAAAACCACCATGGCTAATTGGGGCTGGAGCAAGCTGATGCCGTTAATTACAGTCGCTGGTGGAACACAGTGGAAGCTGGAGCAAGCCTCCATCCTTGGGGCATGCAAGCCACGCTGCCTCAGCTGGCTGAGCAGATGCATTTGGCACGTTGTCCTGCCTCCTCTCTCAGCTCACAGCTACCACATCATGTCTCTTTGCTGGGCACTGCACTGTACTCTCTCCTCTTTGTGAGAAGGCTCTGATGAAGGAAAAGCAGCTGAACAGGTTGCCTAAAGAAGTGGTGAATGCTACATCCCTGGCAGTGTTCAAGGCCAGGCTGGACAGGGCTTGGAGCAACCTGCTCTAATGGAAGGCATCCCTGCCCATGGCAGTGGGTAGGAACTGTCTGATCCTAAGGTCCTTTTCAACCCAAATCATTCTATGATTGTATAAAGTCATGACTCGGGCTGGTCTTATGCAACAAGACAGATAGTTGGACAGCCACAGTGAAGAGGGAGCAGGCAAAAAGAGAGTAAGACAGTCAGCAGGTAGTAAGTGAAACAAGAAATTAAAGGAGAGTGAAAGACGTCCTTTCTTTGGGAGAAATCCGGTCTCCTGCACATTTGCTAGTTCAGAAAGGCCACCAGATGAATGGCTTGCAAATGTCCTAATTCACAAGTGCCTCTAGCTGCTTCCAGTCCCCTTTGATCACATTTGCAGGTGATGAGTTCAAACTGAAACAGCAGAAGTTCAGGTTGGGTATAAGGAAGAAGTTCTTTACTGTAAGGGTGGTGAGGCACTGGAACAGGGTGCCCAAAGAAGTTGTGAATGCCCCATCCCCAGCAGTGTTCAAGGCCAGGTTGGACAGAGCCCTGGGTGAGATGGTTTAGCATGAGGTGTCCCTGCCCATGGCAGGGGGTTGGAACTGGATGATCTTAAGGTCCTTTCCAACCCAAACTGTTCTATGATTCTATGATCTAGAGAAACCAAACTCATGCCAGCCCATATGTTCAGATGAAGACAGAAGTCATGTCCTGCTGGACCTGTGCAACAACTCAGTGTTTTTACAGTGAAGGGTGAGGAGAAACATCTCTGTGGAAGCAGGATCAGCTTAACATCATTCCCTTGCAGTGCCTTCAGAAAACAGTAGAACATTTGCTGCTCCTGTACTGGAGCTTGGCACAAACTGTCAGCTCCATGCATTATCCTGTAACTATTGCTCCTATATAAATAATTAATTGCACTGGAATTTCATAGTGCTTGCATAGCAGAGTCATTGCTGTGACACGACTACATTACTGCATGTAAATCCAATTAGATTCCAAAGTGCACTGAGTAACTATAATCGGCCCCTGCGGAGCAGCGATGAGGGGACCTGCACAAGGCCATGCAACTAGATACTAAATTACAGTCAATCTAACTCCTCCTTAGTTGCATTAAAATGCTAATGTCACTGTAATATGGGCCCATTTACCATTGATGACTGCCTTGCCTTGCAACACTGGAGTGAGTGAGGTTGTTGCCATGCCTGAGAGCATTTAATTCCTTGGTACAGTTGAGCGAGCAAAGCCCTCAGGGCATTTTAGCCTTAAAACAATAACCTGATTGGCTTTTATAACGCTAAAATCATATGAGGCTTGGGATGGTGAGTAAATGAACCACAGCCGCTGCTAAAACTACCTTAAGGTTCCTATCCAAGCAGACGTTCAGGACAATTACAGATTCATAGAATAGTTAGGGTTGGAAAGAACCTTAAGATCATCCAATTCCAACCCCCCTGCCATGGGCAGGGACAGCTCACACTAAACCATCTCACCCAAGGCTCTGTGCAACCTGGCCCTGAACACCGCCAGGGATGGAGCATTCACAGCTTTCCTGGGCAACCCACTCCAGTGCCTCACCACCCTCACAGGAAAGAACTTCTTCCTTAGATCCAAACTTCCCCTGTTTAAGTTTTAACCCGTTATCCCTGTGCTATCACTACAGTCCCTAATGAAGAGTCCCTCCCCAGCATCCCTATAGGCCCCCTACAGATACTGGAAGGCTGCTATGAAGTCTCCACGCAGCCTTCTCTTCCCCAGGCTGAACAGCCCCAACTTTCTCAGCCTATCTTCATACAGGAGGTGCTCCAGTCCCCTGATCATCCTCGTGGCCTCCTCTGGACTTGTTCTAACAGTTCCATGTCCTTTTTATGTTGAGGACACCAGAACTGCACACAAGACTCTAAGTGAAGCCTCACGAGATCAGAGCAGAGGGGCAGGATCACCTCCTTCGACCTGCTGGTCACGCTCCTTTTGATGCAGCCCAGGATACGGTTGCTTTCTGGGCTGCAAGCGCACACTGAAGCGGGCTCATGTTCATTTTCTCATCGACCAACACCCCCAAGTCCTTCTCTTTGGGCTGCTCTGAATCTCTTCTCTGCCCAGCCTGTAGCTGTGTCTGGTGTAGGACCTTGCACTTGGCAATTGGGATACATCCTGGCTCTTGTCTATCCTCCTTAGGTGAAGACACATTTCTGGCACCAAAAGGCTGTGCAGAATCATAGAAACATAGAATGGTTTGGGTTGGAAAGGACCTTAAGCTTATTCAGTTCCAACCACCTGCCATGGGCAGGAATGCCTCACACTAGACCATGTTGCCCAAGGCTCTGTCCAACCTGGCCTTGAACACTGTCAGAGATGGAGCATTTATCACTTCTTTGGGCATCCCCAAGAAGAGACAAACCCAAGAAGAGCACAACAATCACACACAGGAGGAAAAAGAGGGCTCTTAAATCTTCGTATACATAACACCAGCTTTGCCACAAAACCAATA